GATGTCACGTACATGATATCTCGGCTGTTGTCAACTGGCCCCCGCTCAAGCAAGACCAACGTCGTTCATGTGGCCCGTTTAAAATGCTATCATCATCGCAACGAAGCCTCACTCGCCCGGTGGGCATCGTCTGCAAAGGGGGAATTGCTACGATACTGAGGGGACTCGTGGAAGAAGAGGAGAACGAAGTTGGCATGAGCGGTGATCGCCAGATCCCTGGACTTTCGCATTCATCATTTTCCTGTAAATAAAGGCATCTCACCGTAACAATATTTTAAATTTTCCTGTTTGTTTTAACAGTCTACAATTACGTTAGGCTCTGAATGTAACGTAGCATAGGATATTTATGAAATATTTTTACAAGGAATATGTTATGTATACTTAGCATAATACTGCCTTGTTAAAGAGGTGCATGGCAAAAAGTTAGGAACAGTGCGCAAAAAAAAACGTTGCAACCTTTAAGTTTCTGAAATCCTATGTAGTAAGAAGGTCACAAAAGATGGTAAGTACCCAAGAAAGTTAGTAACAGCTCCTGTTTCTAAATCTAATCTTGTGGTTAAAGCTTTCTACTATTTTTGTACAGTGCACACATAAGGTACGGTGATTCGACCGTGAACAGACATGGATTTGTTCGAATGCAGTTCAAGTTTAAAGAACTTCTCAAAATGCAAGAGTGCAGGCTGCAACAGTCAAAACCTGTGTTGCGAGTAAATGAAAGTGCCAACTCGAATTTCACGCACCGGGCTGCGCGAACACCTTAAGATAAATTCAAGGTTTGCGAGCGTTACATAAAACAAAGCAACCTACTGCAGCACGTAACAACTCCAGTGTAACGACAGATGCGCGCCTTCGCAGATGCATACATCGGCACACGTTAGGTCACCCGCAAGGAAAACATATCTGGTAGTGGTCTTATAGATGTCTAAGAATACTAAGAGTGCTCAGAAAAAAAATTAGTAATTAATGTGACTTGTTGAAAATAAGTGATGCAATGGTCACGTAAAAAAAAAAATTTAGAAATGCACATAGTATTAGCACTTACAAAAACTTACGTTAGGTAACCCGCAAGGAAAACACATGTGGTAGTAGTCAGATAGCAGTCTAAGAATACTGAGAGTGCTCAGAAAAAAAAAGTAAATAAATTGACTTGTTGAAAAGAAGTGGTGGAATGGTCACGTAAAAAAAGTTTAGAAATGCACATAGTATTAGCACTTACAAAAGCATCACAGCTTAAACTAAAGAAGACTGCAAAGCAGTGCTAAAGTTAAGAGAGATAATATAATGATGCTGAGAACTAACGAGACAAGACAAATGGTAGCACACAGCTTGACACAAGAGTTGGAAAAAAAAACTACATTTCTAATGTATTTACAAAACGGGAGTGTAAATATTATGAATGTGAATATTATTGTGATAAGAACTGTGAAGTTTGGAATTCCCTAAATCTGTGTTTGATTGTTTGGGAAACAGCGTTGTGAAACAGTAGCAACAATGAACTTTGATTTTAAGGGTGGTCGCGATTGCTGGCGCGCGTGAAATCTCAGCAAGTATTATCTGTGTGCTTTCAATGTGAAGAGACTGTGTGAAAAGAGCGCTTCTTCCTGGAGCAACTGTGCTTGCTCACACCAGCGTTTTGTAGGAGTTCCTCGATGTCGGATTGGAAAAAGTTGGCTGCCAGCCTTACTTCGTGTAACAATAGAATAAGTTGCTATTGCGTTCATTGCATTGCATTCAATGTGCTGTAGTGTTGTTGCCAGAACTAATCTGCTAATCGCCAAAGCTACGAGCCTGCGAACTCACGGCACGGCACAAGAAGAAAGCGCATGACGAGTTGACCTCCGAAGATCCGTCGGCACCGTGGTCTTGCACAGTTTCCATCAGCGCCTAATCCAACATCTCGGTGGTGATGACACGGCTGTCTGTATTTAAAAAAAAAAAAAAAAGCAAAGCTGAACGTTGTTGGGGAGCCACACCATGCATGTATGCAGTGAAACCACGCATGTTGACACGACATCGTAAACGAAGAGTGAACGACATGGACACAGATACAGGTACCGCGGAAAACTATTCATTAACGAACCCTCCATATGCAGCGCGGCCCCACATATGTGACACTAACTAAAAGCGTGTCATTGGCAATGAAGAAGTATTTTCTTTTTGGTTTGTAGGGGGTAGGGAGGCACATCTGCGCGTGCTGCCGCAGTGGCGAGAACGACGGCAACGCCGACTCGTAGAGTGTAGGCCTGCCTGCCGGCCTTGCGCTCACCCGCACGCAATAATGAGAGCTCTCTCTCTCCTTGTGCGCTGTGCGCGCCGTCGCCGCGTCACGCTTTTTCGGTGGCAGGGCACCCGCGGAAGATGCATGCTTGTACCAAAATGCCAAAATTGGGGGAAAAATTCCTAGATTGTCTGGGGGGAAAATTTGTCAGATAGAGGTTGTCTCCAATTGTACCCTTGTTACATAGAGGTCGCAAATACCTGTGCTTCTGCGGAGCAATGGCGGGAAATAGAAAATCTTCGTTATATCGATAAATCCGTTATATTGAGGTTCCTCACAAGCAGGTTTAACTCTAATACGAAAAGTTATGATTTGAAGTTTTACGTGAGAATGCCTTTATTTTACATTTACATGAGTTGAGTCTCATTTGCCAGGCCTCACACAAATTTGCCAGGCCTCACATGATTTGAAGGTCATGTTGTAAATTAAGATGATCATTGGGGCTTCTAATTGGTTGATATAATATACAAACATCTCCGAATACACACATGTAGAATGAAATGTTATTAGGCAGATAATTGATGCAAATGTGAAAGAGCAATGATCTTAGCACACTACCTCGTGGTACACTGGAAGTGTCATATGTGAATTATGAGGTAGAATTATAAACGATGGTGAACTGTTGACGGCTTATTTGAAAGTTGTGGATCCAGAAGAGCATCAAGTTATCTAATTTTAGAACCTAGAATTTGGAAACTAGGCAGCAGTGGACTGGGCAGTCGAAGGCTTTTAGAGAAATCAAGACAAATTCAATTTGTTTGAAAACTATGATTCATGTTAAAATGTATGTCTGTAGTAAATTTTAGTAACTGAGTCTCACATGACAAACCCTTCAAAAACCAATGCTGGTTTGCAAAAAAACATGATTAAACTCTAGATGGTGATGTATGTAGGAAGCAATGAGATGTTCAAGCATATCGGAACAAGTGCGTGTCAATGAAATAGGATGATAGTTTTACGGGGGAATTCTTATCGACACTTTTGTGTACTGTTACCACTTTTAATGTTTTCTAGTCTGAGGGGAGTTAGTAATGACTGGCATAAAATATGACACATAGTTTTTCGAGACATCCTCACTCTATTTTCTAAAATATTGGAGTGGATATTATCAGGGCCACATGCACTAGATAACTTGAGGTTATTAATGATACCTGGGATACCATCTTTTATTAAATCAATTACTGATAATTTAGATAAGTGACTTGCGGAATGTTTGAATGGTGTTTTGTAGGGTATATGGATGAAAAAAGATGTATTAAAGGCAACTGTGCACTCCTTGTCACTAATAGGAACTTCGTTACTATCGCATAGTGATATGTCACTTGGTGAACCAAGGGTTCTACATATCACCTGATATCTTGATTAGCAGGATACATATGTAATATACAAACACTAAAGAAGAATGTTTGCTGATGATTGAATACTGTACAAAAATATGAAGTCACCAAGTAACCAGTCTGAATCTAATCTTAACTTACAGAAAATTAAGAACTGGTGCGATCAGTGGCAAATGCAGCTTACCCAACAAAAACGTTTTTATGCCCTTTTCCAGAAAAAAGAACAATCTGAGTTACCCTTACAGTATGAACGGTCCCGAACTCTCTCAAGCTTTATCAGTACAGATACCTAGGCCTGATATTTACATCCGACTTGTCCTGGAATTTTAACATAGAGAAACGTTCCAAGGCTAACAAAGTGTTACAGGGCCCGAGATGTAATCTTTACTGTGCCTCTCCTGAAATAAAACTTTAGCTTATAAAACCTTGGTAAGACTGATAATCGAATACGCCAAAGTAGTTTGGAATCCCTATAGCCAAACTAACTGTTCAAAATTTGAGAGAATACAACTCCTTAGATCTAGGCTCATACTTATTACCACCGACTAATACCGAATTATGTAAACTTGTAGAGCTCTCACCACTCCAAAAATGAACAGAATTTGAAAGGCTAGAATTCCTTTCCTTAATAATTCATAATCATGTTAAAGTAAGCTATAACAAGTCCTTTGAGATCAAAACACAAGAAACATCAAGACACACTATGTAGATATCGCCTCACATAATGACTGCTTCAGGTACAGTTTCTTCTCTAGGGTGATTCAGCAATGGAATTTGTGTCCAGATCAGGTTGTGAAAACTGAATCCCTTACCGAGTTTTCAGAAGCCATAAACTCCATAGTGTTTGCTGATTCTATCTATTAAGAATGTGATTCCATGTGAAAATTACGTACATTGTAATTAAACTATGATATTCATTGTGTGCTGATAAGTTGTTTATAATAAGTTTTTCAGCAGTGATGTTTTCTTCTTTTGTTTCACTGAATAATTTGCAAATATAATAGATTTCTTATATCTATTTCGGCGCATGCTGTGAAACAATGTGTTCCGGTAGCCCTTTTTCTGTGCACATTTTTGTTTGAATATGATTTATTTCCACTCCTGTGATAGCCATTCAAAAAGTATTAATAAAGGAAATGAAATGAATGTGCGTGAGTCAACCAATTATTGACGTGCATAAGAAATCGAATGCATGAGTAGTTATTTTCCATGCAGACACCCATGCATGCCGGATTGACAATTTGGGCACGTGGAGATAAGTGCCTTGTTTTCTTTCTGCCAGTCAGCACTTTCGGAATCCTGACTTGTTCTTCCTTGCATCCTTGTTTGCACAGCCAGTCCCGGTGAACTAATGAGATGAATGAAAGTGGGGGAATTTGATGCAGGACCATCTGTGCCCATCATCAGTACGTGAACGAGTGCTGGAGTGTCTTGGGGAGACGCTCTATTTCGATGAAATGGCCAGCAGCTTCACCCGCCTGCAGCAGGATGCACGGGATTTCATTGCACTCTTGCGACACTTTCAGATACCTCTTGGTTCGGAATTCCCGGCAAAGTGAGTAGCTTAACTTGCTTGCTGATTGTTCTGGCAGATTTATTGAACTGCTTGTTTAGCTACTCATAGCTGAGATATCTTCAAGGATGGGGAGCCAACATACGCAGCTAATAATAGCCTGTGCAGACGTGTCATCGTGCACTTATTTTGTGTGAAATAGTAAAGCTAAAGTTTGTACCTGTATGCATAGACTTACGTTTGTCTGATCTTGCATATTTTATTTCTCTGGCAGAATTGTGAACATACTTGATCAGAAGCAAGTTTTATTGAATTGTGTTTGCTTGTTAGTACAGTCAAGCCTCATTACAATGAAATTGACGGGATAAGTGAAAAGGTTTGTTGCGGAATTTTAAGTATAGACCACGAAAGTAGGGAAAATCGGATGATTTTGGCTTGCCTTCTTATCCTGACAAGTGTGTGCATTATATTTCTTATTGAACTCTAGATAGCAAAGATGCATTCAGCTACATAAAAAACTAACACGTTTTCTTGGATGTAATATGCAAAAAAAAAAAACATGTTGGAGCTCAAGTTATGGTGTAGATTATGCGCTAATTTTGATTTGAAGAAATATGACTTGAGGATAATATATAACATCCGTCGTTTGTAGTATGGTCCTGTAGTCGTAGTGTGTGTTGCCCCTGAATAAGGATTGGTCAAGTAGCCAACACAACAATTCGTTTTTTCCTATGTACATATGTTTATATATACATAACATGACACTGGTGCCATTGGCAGTGGTCACCAGACCAAGTGTCCTTACAAGAACAACTGCATGGAATTGTAAGGTAGTTGTAAGTTGCCAGGACTACACAAAATTTTGTTTATCTGAAAAACAGTATGACAACATACAGAAAAAAAAACTATGAAACAGGGGTGCAAGCACTGGCTTGCAACTAATAAGTTTATTAGAAACAACACATAGTTTTCTACAGGATGTGTCATGTGCACACAGATAAACATGAACAAGAATGAAACCATGTGGCGGATACTTGCGCATATTCACAGATCTCGGGGGCGTTTCTTTGACGATGGATTGAAAGGACGCTATGAGGCACAATAAACATAATTGAACTACAATCACGGAAAGAAAAAGCGAGAAAATCGAACACTCCAAAAACCAAAAACTCTGAAAAAACCTTACAAAAAATGCACAAAGCAAATATACAAAAATGGACTAATACAATTCCATTATAGTTGCTAAATTTGACTCGAGTCCCTAACTAGAGTCTGGGCACTTTGACCTTGCTGTCGGGTCGTAGCCCAAATGGAAGACTTCTATTTTAGAAGTATGTTCAAGCACTTTTATTATGTTCCATCAATTGCTGAACGTCTAAATGTTGTAGTGTTGGGTCCACGACCGATGTAGCTGACGATCCCGTTCAAATCACCACTCCGATGTGGAATGGAGAGCCACATTGGCTTAAGCCTGTTCTTGGTTAGTGTCTTTGACCTGGCAAGGTGTCTTTATCTGTTAGGTGCGAACTCTGTCTCTGCTCGAAGTGATGTCATGACATCCCAGAGATTGCTGCTGGTGGACGGTGGGGAGTCTCGAATGAAGCATATGCTCTCGGAATGAACAGACACAGTAGATGCGGTCAGACGAAACTCAAACACATTTATTTAATTACTTTTGGAATGGCAATATTGCCAGCCGAATCAAAATACATCAGTTCTGATCAACAGGCTAAAACAACCTTACACAATACTTTAATACACCTAATCAACCTAACAACAAACAAGGTGATGCGAAAGGTGGCGTCGCTGGCGCTCGATCACCACAAGGGCCCATGGGAAACAGCTCGCAGCGCCGTCCCCACGAACCTGCCACGGGAGCGACGGTTTGCGCCAGCCACCACTCGCCAAAGAGAACCGCTCACGTCTCATATGCTGCCAGCCAAGATCGCCGCCAGGTGTCACTGCCGACGCTACCGTGCTAACCATGATGATGATAACGGTGAGAAACGCTTGCAAACACTATGCTATCTATCACTCGATAGTTGCGAACCCTAAATGCAGCCTATGCGCGAAACATGTGCGCCACAAGGTGCAAAGGACTTTACAGGGAGTGTTAGCACCCTCACATCAGTCAAGGGGGGACTGCTGTTAGTGCGTCTGGAACTACCGCAGGTAGTTACAGCATCTGTGAGGAGCCCCACCAGAGCGTCGTAGAAGTCAATGGTCATGCGACGGAGTTTTGGCGTCACAGCCTTCGTAACCAAACACCCCCTGCTTCCATCGACAGAACGAAGCTGCTGATGTGGCCTTCTTCTAGCATAGCCACACAGACAACTCTGACCCATTAAACCAGGCCTCAGAAAGTCTCAAGTTCCACCTATCGCCGAACAGTAACAAAGAAATCGACAGCTAAAAAAAGAACCTTAGTGGCTCTGTTCAAATCTGCCCTCGAGGACGCCGAAAAATCGGCTAAAGGCACCATAGTAAGCTCAAAATTTAAAGCGAAGAGAGCCACTATTTTTTGTGAAAAAGGGCTCTTTTCTACAGAACTAAAGGGTAACATTTGAATTCTACGTTGTGTGTAGTACTTTTGAGCACTAAATTTGTTTAGCGATCGTGGCACCAAGCGAGTTCTACTATGGATTCTCTTATTGATGATGGTCACAAAGCAAAAAACATGCGCTGTCGCTGTTCGACCGGGGCAGCCGATCCACATATTATTTATTTATTTACTTACAGAATACTGCAGGCTCATATTAGAGCCCTCGCAGGAGTGGAAACAAGCACTTGTCAAGAAAAAAAATTCACAATCAATCAGTAGTCTATGCACACAATGTACACACAAAATTAATACTCTCATGCAAACAAGTGTACATATATCATTCATAATCAACAGCATTTTCATCGCATAAATTAGTAGCGATTCGTGGGCAGAATAAATATATGTACATAAAGGTATTTACATGAATACACAGTCGCAATATAACACATGGCACAGCAATAGGGGTATTATTACGTTTACACATACTTCTAAACGGCTGGGATTACTTGTGCACGCATGTTCCTGTACATACGAACCAAGAAAGGGATATTGCTTAGGGTTATGGTGTGATGAAGTCGAGCTATTCATTGTGTTGTACCGACTCAAACGGCAGGGCATTCCAGTCTGCAATGGTTCTATGAAAAATAGGCGGACTTAAATGTGTTGGTACGTGTCTGGAATCATGTTATCGGGGAGGATGCAGCATGGCGATTTCTAGTTTGTTGCGACGTCTGTGGCTGAATAAATGTAGAGGCATCTAGTGCAAAATGTTTGTTTTTTAAATGACAAAAAAATTTTAATCCCAGAATTTTGCGACGAAGCTTAAGTTCCTGTATATTCTTTTCTTGTTTGATAGCTGTGGGAGAGTCTATCATGCAGTATTTATAAAATATAAACCTAATGCATTTGCATTGAATCATTTTTATGGCATGAATGTTTTTTAAAGATGGTAGTCTTTTTTGGGGACCTTCGACGGAACAATTTTAGTCTGTCTGTACATTTGTCTGTGTGTTTGCCCTTAACGATACCTCAAACGACCCAAACGGCCAACCCCATCCACAGTGTCCACCAATATTGCTCAAGATTTAGCGTTCATAGTTGTGCAATTGTCAATTAAAAAGCAATCATTGCACATATCTGAGGCGCCATAACAACACGTCTATGTTCTGTATGTCGGCCTTAATACTAGAAGAGGCACACACAAGTGACTCTAAGGACTGTAGTGTTTATCACGCTGCGCTGACAGTGCAACGCGATGCTTAAAAAGGTGTTTTTAACGCTTTGCTATGACGACACGGTGATGGCACCTGCCTGTCGCTTTGCGTTCTACACCTTCTCACCTCCGAGACAGGCGCGCATCTTTCTCCGCGGGCGCGCACGCCTTGGTTTTAGAAGTGTGTAACGTGCCTCAAAACGCTCGTTCGCCTCTGCTGCACGCTCGAGGTACTCTAACGCAGCGCCTCCAGAATACCATTCACCGATTTTCTTGCGCAGAACATCAAATAAATGTTTTGTTCACTCTCTCCAGATGCAAGACTATCATCTTTCAAAGACATTTGCAGTGTAATATGCACATTCGAGCCAATTTTTTTAGTGTATGGGTCCCAAATAACGCACACATATTCGAGAGTAGGTCTAATGGTGGCATTATAGGCTAACAGCTTAACAGATGGTGGGGCAAGACTCAAGTTTGTACTTGAGAAAGCACAGCTTACGGAAGGCGAATACGCAAATGTTAGATACATGCGTGTTTCAATTTAGATTTTTGGTTATCATTACGCCAAGGTACTTACACTCACTGACATCTTTGAGTATGTGAGTTTGTAGCGCATATAGAAAAGTAGAAAAGTTTTTCTTTGTCGTGATGTTCATTTACACTGTTTTGTCTGAGTTTAGTTTCATATTCCACTGCTTACACCACTGGAAAATGATATCAAGGCAGGTATTTAAAAGCTGTTGAGCATTCATGGTAACTATTTCCTTATATAATACACAATCATCAGTGAATAGCCTTATTTCGACATGTTAAAGGACATCTTCAACAATATCATTTATATATACAGTAAAACCTCATTAATTCGAACTTGGTTATTTTGAAATGTTGTTTAATTTGAAGGATTTCCACGGTCCCATATTTTGCAATGTAAGTTTCAGTGGATAATTTGAAGCGGCAGCCAGCCCCAGTTCGGTTAATTCGAAAACTTTGGGTGCTATGTGCCCGTTCCAGATCCCGATTTTGCCACAAATCGGCAAAAACGACAGCCCTTAATAGACACAAGGCAATTCAACGTAGCGATATTAGACTAATCAGTGGCAGCTGAAGCACTCCAGCCTCTCTACTTCCAGCGCACACACACACACACACACACACACACACACACACACACACACACACACACACACACACACACACACACACGCACGCACACACACACACACGCACACACACGTGCGCACACACACACACACACACACACGTGGTTAATCAAAACGTGTGCCT